TTTGCCCCTCCTTTCCAAGTTTCCCTGGATCCACTCCCCCAAGCCATGAGCCCCACCCTATACCTGTCCGGGCGACCGAGCCCGCGCTTGCTCTCCAGTTCCACACGCTCCCCTCCCCCAGCCCGCCTCCGACCCTGGCCGGCTCCTAGCACTCCAAGTGCCTTAGTGCAAAGGACCCTCGCCCGCCCTTATGCGCCCCTGCCAAGGGCGCTCGGGTGCAGAGGTGCGCGGCGCCCACGTGGCCTGAGAGGCGGAGCCAGCCCAGAGCCACTTAGTTTTCGGGAAAGTTTAAGCTAAGGGTGGGTTCCGCGGGTGGAGACCCCTCTCTAAAGAGGTAGGGCGAGCGGAGAAGACATCCTCCAGTGTGCCGGAGATAGCAAGGCTTCCCAGAACAGGTTGCCTACTACAGGTGCGCGGTTCGAAACTTAGGCCTGTGCGTGCTCAGACTCTTCAGACTGCTAGCGTTGAAATCTGCAGATTACAGGTGGCAGCGCAGCGCGCCCAGCAGCGGGCGTAGTCAGCCCCGGAAATTGGTGTTTTCCGACGACCAGCCAGTGTAGTCCACCTGCTCGGAGGCGAATGGACCGCGGGTATTTTACAGTGGCAGGTTCAGGTGCTGGAGGCTTCGGAAACACTATGCTAGAGGCTGCGCGATTACTGTGGCAGGAGATAAAGCTAAAAGAGTAGAGGAGTCTAGTGATTAAAAACTCCAAAAATTTAGATTGTCTTGTGGCAAGCCAGAATTTCCTAAGTGTGGGTCCTGCCCTACCCATGACAGGAGAGACTATAAGATAACACTTAATTACACAATGAGAATTTTTTTTTTTTTGCCTTCTCCGTTCTTTCAGTCTCTCTTTAAGCCACTTATTGGTTTATGGCTTGGCGATTCAGTTTCCTCATCTGTAAAACAAGAATAATAAATAGTGCACACCTCATGGGGTGGCTGACAACCACAGTCTTTTCTAAGGCAGAAGAAGGGAGGTGGCTGTGGGTCCAAGAGGGCAGATGACAGGTGCCTGTGATGGAGCTCTCCATACTTCCTAGTGATGTTCACGTGGATCTGTGCATGTGAAAATCAGCACAGAACCACACACACACACACACACACACAAATGAATGCACATGGTTACAGTGAGATCTTAATGAAATCACTGGACTTAGTGCTGACTTTCTGACTGTGATGTTGTTTTATGATTATGCAAGATACACATTAGAGGAAATGGGACGGAAGGTTTGCAGAATTCCTCTACAGTATGCCACACAAATGCACTGAAGTCTACCGTTACCTCCAAGTAAAAAGTTTAAGAACTTCTCTGACTTTTCCAGCTATCCATCTGGGTGAGATCACAACTCTGCACCGAAGTCCAGCCTAGATGACATATTGCAACAAGAATGCAGAAACATCACAAAATGCATATGCGTCTACCAAGCGGGATGAGAGAGACAATCAGGAAAATAGGAACAGTGCCCATCGATTTTCCTATGAGCTTTAGCTTAGGAAAACAATTATTTTTTAACAAAAATGCATTAAATGTTACCATGTAATGGCTTGATCATTATTTTTAAAGTCTAACTACAAGTATTTGAAACATTTCTCAGTTTTAATTTTTAGCATAGAAATCCACATACTCAGAAACCCTTTGAGATCTTCCTTAATTTTTTAAAGTATGTAAAAGAAGTCTGAGACTAAAAAAAAAAAAATGGAGTTTTTCTTGGCTGAAGGGAGGACTCCAGGAAAATGAATAAACTCTGCCTATGAAGTTCTTATTCAAATTTGGGTACTGGACCCCTCCCTCGATTCCCTGTAATGCTGGTGGCCAGTACAGACAAGGCTGGAACGTGCCAGCAGGCTGTCACTGAGGGAATCGAATCTATGAAAAGGAATCAAACCTTCACCTGGGGTGAGGATCTGACTGACTTTCCCTCTGCCCCACCTGCTTGGACTTCAGTTTCTTGCCTTCAAGGACCCTCCATGGCTAAGAGCAGGAAAGAGCTTCACTTTTGTGGCCTATCTATCTCAGAGGGACCACCACAACTATCCAGAGGAGGAAAAGTTGCTTCTGAACTTGTACCAAGAAGATCTCAGAGTTTTAAACTTTCAGCCTCCATAACCTGAAGGGGGATGTAGTGGGCAGAAATGAGGTGAGAGGTGGAGGTGATACATGTTGGCATAACTGCCCTTGCTACAGAGTGCTGCACATTCTGCATGACATCCTGCATGAGTACATCACGCCGTGGGAGAAGGAAACACGTTAAGTTTCAGAGCCACAACGGATATGGTCAAAGCATCAAGTGAACCCCTGTTACAAGGTGAAATAGAACATCATGACAGAGGAGTATGGTGGAAGAAAGCCAATCAGGACGAGGCACCAAGAAGGGGAGAGAGTTCTCACAAAGAACAAAATATATACCCAAAGGCACACCCCAGTGACCTACCTCCTCCAGCCACACCCTCCCTGCCTACAATCACCACCCAGTTAATTCACTCAAAAGTGGACTAAAGAATTGATTAGGTTAGGGCTCTCACAACCGAATAGTTTCACCTCTAAGCTTTCTTGCACTGTCTCACACATGAGCTCTGGGGGGAAAACCTCACACTTAAACCGTAACACTGGGATTGACCATATCAGGTTCTGCACTTAACTTTATAAGACAAAGAACATTTTGACGTATAGCCTGAGACCCTGTAAACACCAGCTGCCTGCCGACCTTGGACTGCATTTGGGAGATGAGGGCGGAGTGCCAGTGTGTGCCCTTTTCCCTGTGTGCTGTAACTTAGGATGACCTGTGGGATGCTGATGAGCAATCAAAGTGACTGTAAGGCTGACTGACAGCAGGTGGCTGCCAGCAGACCCGGGTTCCCATCTTGACTTTGTCCTGACTGCTGCATGAAACCTGGTCTCCGTTCTTGAGTTATCTCCACTGTTACATGGTAGAGAACAGGCATGTCTGTGCCTTGTTCTGAGGATTCTCGAGCGAGTGTGTCAAAGCATGACACTTGTGTAGTGCCAATAAGTGATAGCCATTATTTTAATATAAGTTCTTATTTGTGCAGAATCCATCAGAATAAAAACTTCCAGAGCACACCCGTACTTTCTCCCCTTTTCTACTTGCTGTAGGCATATCTTCTGGGTCCAAAGATCAGTTTCATTCTTGCAACAAAAGTGTGAAGTATTCCACAGGATTGTCAGAATTAGAAGTTGGAATGGTAACTTTCCAGATTCCTGGGTACTTATATCTAAAAACATAATTTCCTTTGAGCAAACTCAGTTATTATGGGAGAACATCCTGTTGTCACCAGTGTTATTGTTATGATTCACTGTGAATGACGTTCAGGTAATCAGTGCACCCCCTTGGTTTGTAACAGAGACAGGAGAAAGCAGGCTGGAAGAATCAGCGCACTGTGGTACTCACATTCTTTCCCTGCCAGGCACTCTCTGGGTCCATGAGGTGTAAAGGTGGATAAAACAAAGTGCCCTGTCTTCATGGAGCTGGCAAAAGATGGAAAATAGACAAGAAACTGCATTACATACTTCACTAGAATTTGGCAACTGCTGTATAAAAATGGAAAGGAGTACAAGAAAAGATGGGTCAGGAACGGGCCAGGGAGGTGGAGTGATTAAGACAAGTGACCATACCCAAGACAGCCAAGAGCCTGGACAGGGCAGCCTTGCGGAGAATGACAGAGTCAAGCAGAGGCTTGTAGGAGATCAGGGATCTGGGCA